AGAAGAGCAGAAGAACAGATAAGGGAGGCTCTGGCTTCTCCGTCCTCTCGTTCTCTTTCCCTCGTTTGGATCGCGGGTGTTTATAGTTGGATTAGCAATTCTATTGCTAATATTCCAAGCTCTGGCTATGCAGCGGCAGGAGCCTCGACGAGAGAATAGGAAGTCACCGGGAATTCCCGAGAATACTGTAAGAGTGTTGAACAAACCAAGTACTACGAGAGCTAGCAAGTTGGGGGGTAGGGGGATGTAGTGAGAGAGAGAGAGAGCTAAGTTAATGGAAGAGATTGCTTCTACCGTGGAAAGAGAGACAGAGTATGTACCAGAGATTGAAAGTTCGATTCGCACGAATCCTTTTTTTCTTTCTCGTTTTTCCCCCCTCGCCCCTTTATTGATTGTCTTGGTTGGCTCTGTGCTTTTTTAAAATTTTCCTTTCTTTCTTTTTTTTGTTTAATCCTTTGAGCTGGAAAGAAAAGAGAAATCAAGTGTACGAAACTATAGTGCGTACGTGCATGAATTTGGTTGAGTGTAAGAGTACATCACAGAAAGAATGGAAAATTAATTGGAAGAACCTTTTACCTTAGCAGCCGTGACTTTCCTGGTTTTCCTTACGCTCGATTTAATCCCATAACCAAAGTTGTATCAATTACCCCCTTTTTTTCCTCTCTCCCTTCGCTCTTAGCCTGCCCCCCCCCCAGCTTAGCTCTCTGCTGCATCACAGTACTCTGCCTCTCTTTCCCTCCTCGTTTTTCACCCTTACGATTCTTTCTTCTTCATTTACTAGAGCTACCTTTGTATGGTTTTTCTTTTTCCTCCCCCTCTCTTTCTCGTTCCCTTTATGGTGCAGCAGAAATTCTTTTGAAAGTTAGGTAATTGGCCGAGATTTTGCGGGTGAAAAGTTCCGAAAGAATTTATTGGGATGAAGTTTGTATAGCTTAGTTATGAATTGCGTCACTTCAATTAATTGGAACTTTCGTATGAGCTCATTATACTTGAGGTTTTTGAAATCGATGGCAGTATTTGACAAACGTCCAAAGCAATAATTTATCAATATTTATGTACTGCTCCTTGTAAATTATCCATCAACATAAATACTTAAGTAATATCACAAAGTGGGTGTAATCAGTGATATCGCAGCCATGAACATATACACGGGATGCTATTTTGCATAAACTCAGTTTTGACATTAGCCAAGACTGGAGTTAGATTTCATTTCCAGCTGGTATAATTTAATAGACGTTTCTGTCACTCTATGGAGAGAGGGTCGATTATACCAGCCGTACGGATTTTGTCGTCACCGAGAGCGCATCGAGAAGAAGACTACCGGAAGCCTGACCCCGATATAAAAAGAAACGGAGAATGATTTGGTCGCAATCGGCGAATCCAATCTTATGAGAAAGAAAAAAAAAAAGAGTCTTTCTTCTGTCTTTCTTGGCTCTTGAGCTGGTGCTTGAAGATAGAGTGAAAAAAAAGGGTGCTCGTAAATTTTTGTTTTCACTCGCTATTGCCACAGAATTGTACTCTGACTACTGCAAGGGTGCGAGTGATATTTGTTGCTGCTTGGCTCTCCCGCGTGAAACTTACACGAGTTCCTTTCGTGTTTTCTTTCTTGACTTTCCGTGTGTATATACGCTGACGCTGCCTTCTCAAACGCTTACGGATACATCTGTGTGTATGTGTATCGGTTCGCTGAGTTTCGTGAAAACGACCGAAAAGGCATTTTTATCTCAAGCCTGTCTATACATCCCTTGACAAATTGTCAGTGGCGTTGTCGTGCTTTATTGTTTTCTATTCTTTTTTTTTTTTTCTTTCTTTTTTGTTTCTTCGATTGTATATTATCGCATTCCCTATCGATTTGTACACCCTGATCGAAAGTTGTCTCATAAAAAATAATCGGCTGGCTTTCCCCGATCAGGTAATAGATTGTTTTGGCAGTGCTCACACAGGACAACGCGTACATGTGTATCTTGTATTCTGTACACGTTTTGATCCTTTTAATACTCTCCCCTCGTCTTGTTTTAAGAGTCCTCCTCCTCCTCCTCCTCCTCCACAAAATAACGAAAAATTCTTTTCTTTTTTTTTTTTTTTCTTCTCGTCATCTTGGGATCACGTCAAATAATATATGGTAACTCTCAGTTCCCCTATCCATCCGGTCTTCCCCACATTTTTCTCACTTCTCTCAAAATTCTCTCTGCACATTCTCGCATATAAGGTTGTACATTTTCCCTTACATTTTTAGTATTGACATCGGAGGCAGAGATATTGACACAATCTTGGAGATATTGAGACTTGGGTACAAAAAGAAATGCATGAAAGTAGGATTCAGAAATAGAAAAATAAGGAAACATATGAAAGATTATGTCAGCACAAGTCAAAGCTGAAATATACGAAGACAAATATCCAAGTGAGTACAAAGTCTCAGTTTTGGAGACATACAAATATTTCAAGACTAAAAATCTCACTTCAAGGAAATGTAAACTATTTTAATTTGAAAAAAAAGAATTTGCTAAGTGATCATACATTTTACAAAAAACGAGTAAGACATAGGAACCAAAATTAAATTCATTGGGCATATAGTATAGCATAGAGAAAATCGAGATTTATAATCAGAATTAAACAACCTGCCAGTTGACACGCACGCGCTAACTTGTGACAAAATCAATTTATAGTTTGTCACAGAAAACGGCAGTACTGTTTCGAAAGTTCCTATATCGAGTCACCACGAGAGAGGTTTCATTGTATCTGCATGTAAGGGTTTGCCACATCACACGCGCCCTTTGTGGGCCTTGAATACGTGTGTGCTCTTTACACGCAGGCAAGAATTTCATTCTCGAATATTGGCTTCTCCAATGTCTTGACTATCGATAATTTTCCCCAACCGTGTATGTGTGCGCGAGTGCGTTATACTCGGTAGATACGTAGTATTTAATGCTATTGATAAATTTTGTGTATGTGTGCAGCCAACGCGTAACGCTGCACATAGCTGTTCTGCGTTTGAAGAGAATAAGCAGAGGTTAGAATCAGCATTCAGGTCTGGGGGAGGGCTAACACGGCAGTGCGTATACATCGCGCAACGTGTGTGGCGTGATGACCTAACCATTGATTGCAAAAACTCTGTAGGCATGCCAGAATTTAAAGGCTTTGATGCGAGAGATGAATAGGCAAAGGGAATGGTCCCTTTGTTGTACCGTTGGGATGTTTTGGGAAAAACATTTCAGTAGAATTACGTCTATGATAAATAATGATTCTATTCACTCAATTATGTGATTTGTAAAATTGTTTGTAAAATATTCAAACTATCCGAGGGAATAAAGTCCCTTTATTCGAATATGCTTTAACTAATATGACGTTAATTAAAAGTTGATTAAAAGCAGCAGTACAAATTAAACGGTAAATGCTTGTTGCTTAACTCCTGACAACGAATATTTCTGTCAGTGGATACCATTCTAAATCAAGCGTGAAGGTACAAATACTTGGAATTTGGTTATTAGCACAGTTCTTAAATTGCAAAAATTAATAATCAAAGTCTTTTATTTTTAAAGACCCGTGATTCAATGTTATCAATTATATTTTGTATTAATTGAAACTATCAGGTAAAAATAATCTTTTTTTTTTTTTTTTGAGAAATGTCTGTTACTTCAGTTATTTCATGGAATTTTTATTGAAACAAATAAAGTTGTATTGCACAACGGCAAAGCTGTCAGGCGATCCTCAGGACGATCAATTCGTGGGACACGCAGTTAATAAATATTTCAACAAAGTGAAACTAAGGAAAGGCCAATGAAAGTGGCTAGAAAGCGAAAAGTTGGAGATTAAAGTGTACGGCCTGTGGGAAACAGAAGGGAGGCAGTGGCCGGGAATTCGCGAGTCAGTGAAAATTCCTAGGGTAAGCCGAAGCGCCAACGGAAAGCGACTTTTAATAACGCGGGGATTTGTCGCCGCAGCTTCGGGAATCTCGCCCCTCGGTCTTGGGCCCTCGTCGTTGCCACCGCCAATGGAAAAGCGGCCCTTCTCGCTTTCAAGGAACTTTCCTTTTCCCTTTCCCCGTACTCCTTCTCATCATATTTTCTATTCTCGCTCGCTCGCTTTTTTTTCCTCCTCACTTTTTCTGTTTTACTTTCATCCATATATACATACTACGCGCAATAACTCGCGCTTTATTCCAGGGTAGTTTTTAGTCCCTACCTTATCTTTTTTTTTCCCATCCTCCTCTTCGCACTTGCTACGAATTAATGAGTTCATAAAGTTCGCAAGTTTATCGTGTAGCGTGTTATTTGAGAGGACGACACGAATTTTTTCCTTTTGTCCCTCTTTTGAAAATAATAGAGCTGTACTTTGGAAAAGGAGAGACTTTGGTGTTTTAATAAGCTTGGTTACCTTGGTAGTTGTATGACGCTTCTGTACTTTAATTAGATTATTTTTTAAGTACATAGCTACGGGAAAGGGTTGTAATTCTTGCCAACTTTTTCATGAAAATTCAGTTGGCACTTTCTGATGTACTGAAACTTTCAGTGAAATTATTCGATTAATAATACAAAGTGTACATTAATTATGAACGGTATGATTTATTTATTATTAAAACCTATAGTTCCCCTAATTACAAAGATGCCTTGAGTGAAAAAAAAAAGAAAAAAGAAAAATGTATCTCTAATCATGATTTTATTTATATTATGTTTGAATTAGTCTTAAAAAAGTTTCGAAAGTAGTAAGCGTGTGCTTGTTATTATTACCTAGATAAATGCATGATGCATCGTTGTAGGCAAAGAGGAAACACCAAGTCTCATGTCTTATTCACAATAACAAGCACGTAATAGTATATAGTCGATAATGAAGGTTATTTCTGATTCATGGTTATATACATGACGTTTTAACCTATTTAGTTTTATGATTGTGAACAAGATTTCTCTTTTCAACTATCATTGACTTTGACTGCTATCATGTTCATTTTTGAAAACATCATCCAACAAAGCAAATTAGTATAATATTTATAAATGTATTCTTACCTCATTTGCATAATAACAAGTGGTGCAAAGTCCAAACTTTTGTGCTTAAATCCCAGATCTGTTTCGTTGATATCGTTAAAATTTTTGTACGGAATCTTGATACAACCAGTTGGTACATCGATTCCTGTTGAACAAAAAAAAAAAAAAAAATCAAATCGTTAAAAACGAATCGTTTCATTACATACGTGCAATAATGACATAGTCAAGGGTATATTTTATTTCAGAGATCGCATGTAACGTAATAAAGATACCCTTCACCCATGGGTGGTTGGGGGTGTGAGTGCACATGACACAAGCTCGAAATTACGCGGCAACAAGCGGCCTAGCCTATATAGACTATGAAGCACGGTCCTCTCTTGAAAATAATTGGCAAAGGCACAGTGACAAAGAGAAAGAGTGAGAGAGGTATAGCGAAAGAGGGAAACAGGGGTGGCACCACGTAAAATCGATAGGCTGCTACGTAACCATGTATATCCGCCAAATAAACGCAACGACGAGTGCCGTTAGCTCACAGCAGCTCTTCGAGGGACGCGAGCTGTGATTGTTGTACGCGGGCGAATCTCATTTCAGGAAAACAGCGCAAATGCTCCCTCCCCCCCCCTCGTTTTGACGGATTCTCACGCAAATATTGTGGCTTAATGAAAATCGCGGTGGTGCAGTTTAATGGGATTCAAAGGATCGTTATGTTGCTCTCGACTCGTTTCTTGTTATCTTTTGGTTTCTCAAGTGGAACGTGTGTGCATCCATGACTGCTGTTTACCCGTACCCCCTGTGTGATGATTTCGTTTAAAGTGCCGGATTCATTGAGTGGGATGGACCACCGAATAACTGATTGAATCGGACAACACAATTTCTCTTTTAAGTAAATACCCACCCATTACTCATTGATTTTTTCACACATAACAGTTAAGCATTGTAATTTATTTATTTTAATGCTCATTAATAAAAATATAATTAGCATGTCAATATTTATTTGGCTATACCTTTAAAAATCCTTATTTGTCAAGTATGGTAAATTGGTCAGACACACAAAACCGTGCATACGCATGTACTAGCGGAGTCCATCGATTTTACAATTTTGTGCCGCAGTACAAGGGTTTCTAGACGCATTTTTTTTTTTTTTTTTTTTTTTTTCCACGTCCTTCCAGTGCTCCTGATCCACGCTTAATGAGGCGCGAAGAGTCGCTCGCTGAGCATGTTCCTCCTCTTCCCCGGCTCGCGTGCACACCCGCAAAAAGTGAACATCCTCGAGAGTTTTTGCGGCTACGCGTGCGAAGATACACTTTACGGTGGCTCCATGCAGAAGATGAGAAACGAGATCCACTTCCGATACTAATGACCGTGTATTTCGGAAAGTAATTTTTACTCCTTGGTTTTTGTCGTTCAATGACAACTTTGCTTCACGATGCGCACAAACTTTGGATCTGGATCGGACAAGCCATGGAAATGTTTACCATGACAAGTTTCCACGGGAAACAAAATTACACGGTACGCCCTTTGAGCTGACACGTCCTTGTGGCAAGAGACAGAAAGAACATCAGCGGAAAACTTTCAAAAGCAAACGTGCCGCTGTTGCGAGACTACATGATCAAAGAAATAGAGGAAAAAGCGAGTCGTAACTCGAAAAATCATGCGTTCGCGTCCCTGCGTGCTGCGGGTAGGGGTGTCGCGAGGCGTAAAATAAAAATAGCCGACCCGGGCAGCCAATTTTTGAGAGTGCACCTCCAAACGGCTCCCTTTTTAGCTCCCCTGCAGTTTTTCGCGAGATATGCTCGCGCTGCTCTCCATACTCGCTCATTTTTATTTCCACATAAACAACGTTACCTTCGCTCACCCGCACCCTCGTAAAAGAAACAATACTGCTGCACGCACGACCCTTGAAAAAAAACAAAAAAAAACTTCAAACACCTCGTGTGCAGGTACATACAATCAACAGCGCGTGGTGAGCAACAAACGCGCTACATCTCAACCGGAAATAATCGATCCAAAGGCCGAGCTGAATTTGCGAAACGAGAAGTCTATCGGCCTCGACTCGGAAAGTACCTTAATCATAAAGTTTATTCCAGCCGCCACCTCTACCAGCCCTACCACGAAGACGCAGCAGCGGCCAAAGGGGGAGTCGATAGGCATCTCCTTCCGCAAACTTCGCGAAGCACACTGCAGAGGCGGAGCAGCAAAAAACAAGATAGATATTTGATAATCCCTCCCTCGTCCCGGTACACTCTAATCCCTGGGGGGGACGAAGCAAAAAGAAAGACCCTCGGCTGGGCGCAAGTCGACGTCGTCTTAAAATAAAAAAAGACTACCACCCGGCCGGAGGTCGACGCGCAGGCGTCTACAATATTTATGCGGCGATATTGCGTCTTGAGTGCTGCCATTAGGGCCGCTGCCGTTGCTATGTACTACCGGGCGTTGGCCTCCCGCGCTCGCACGAGGTGTACACATTATGCGCTGACAAGTGCTATGTGTGACGTCGCGATGCGTTTGTCGTCCATTAGTTATATACGTCAGCTCGACCACTGTTATTTAAATGAAACTATAACGTGGACGGGAAATGAGGATGTGCACATAATCAGTTGGTAAAAACACTCAGTCTCCCGTATAGCGCAAGGAGGATTAAGGTCAGCTCGATCGGCAGTCACCGTGACCCATTCCTCCCGCCCCCTTTTCTCCCTCTCTCTCTTTTCGAACAATGCGTCTTTGAAAGCGAGCCATATTTCACGTTCGCCCACTGGCTCGATCGCCCGAACATCCTCGCCCCCCCCCTCCACCTCCCGCACCCGTACAGGGAGATTACGACGATTCTGGCCAGCATATCGCATTACCAGTGCAATATCGTTAATTCAGAAGCGAAGGGTGGGAGGGAACCGGTCGCGATTCCACCGCGTTAATCTCAATCCAGGTCCAAGTGCTGTTTTAGCCATTATTACCGAGCGAGAGCACACGCTGGCCAATGTGAATTGTAGCGCGAGCCGCTCACCTACACATACGTGGGCGTCTCCTACGTTTATACCGTTGCCACCGTTGTTTCGTCCTTGTTGTTATTGCTGCGATTTTCGATAAACGCTTTTGCAAACGCAGCGTCACTGGTGATGCAAAAGTGCTGAATCTACGGCGCGACCGGGGGGTGCGTTTCTCTCGAGGACTGTTGTTGTTTTTAAATTGTCGAGCGCTACGTTGAGCTTGGGGATTTTTGGAAGCTCTTTCGAGCTGCAATCTCCATTAGTAGCGTTGTCCGAAGGCGTTGATCGGAGCAGGAAACTTTGACCCCCCGAACTTGGCGCTCGCCGTTAAATTTATGGCTCGGTAATTGGGGACGTTAAGGCGCGACTTGGTGCTATATTTTTCGGTTTTGAAAACATTTGTTGCTCTCCGTGTAAAATACTGCGGTGAAACTTTAAGTGGATTACAGCGCGGAACAATAGCAATGGTCGTGCGTATCTGGTGGGACTATGGGGCTTATATTCTTTTGTGTGAGCAATATTTATGAGAACTATAGGCTTTTATCGTTTGGATGAAAATACGATTGTTCCAGATTCAAATGAACCCTGCACACGCGTATAGGCCGCTCGGAGCTCGAATCGAGGATTTGTCTCGAGGATTAGAGGAGCGACGCTGATTCACATTCATCTCGGGGGAATCCCCGCAGCGATAAAAAGCAATTTTTATTGAAACGTATCCTCCTACTTTCCGTTTTCTCACTGCGGCCTCAATAAAACGTGGCCGTAAAAAAGCGCCCCGTAAGAAGAATATGAAAAAACTAGGGAAACAAAAAACCAAGCAAAGAAAGGGCGAGGGAGAGGGGGACGATTCTGAGGAAGAGGTCAGAGGAGGCTGTTCATCGAGCGAGAAGAGAGCAGGTTATTCGCGAGCCTCGTGACGTCGTTTCGAGGCTTGGAATGTCCATGCAGCGACGAGATGAGATTTATTATCACCTCACGGTCTGCATTAATTTCCTTCCAGCAGCAGTGGGGGGCCTCCCTTACGGCTTTTGAGAATAAACATTCCCATTTTTTCGTTCCTTTTTTCCTATTCTTTTTTGTTTTTTGTTTTTTCGTTCATAGTAGGCACAGTGGACGAAACAATGATACGCGCAGTTGAGAGAAACACTTTCACGTTTTTCCAATACTGTTTCAACTGTTTTTGTTGCAATGTATTCATGTTAAAAATTACACTGCAAACAATTGCTAGGTACGTACATGTTGATTTTAGTATTACTATTATTATATCAACTATTGAGGTTTTAAATTATACCTCCGAAGAAATTATGATTTGAGAGTACGATCAAGATTTTTTGTCACGAAATGGAGAGTAATACTCACAGCGAGATTTTGATACTTTGTATTAATTAGTCTTGACTTGCAGGAACTCCTGATGTCACGAATATTTTCAATCTAAACCCTTTCGTTATAAGAAAAAAATCAGTACTATTTTTTTTGTTTGTAGACAAGCTTGCGTATATTACTGCACCCTGAATATTCATGTATTTCGGGATGTTTTAACGTAATCGCATGCAGTTTATTGAGAAAGGAACAGCACGAGAGTCTATGATATAGCCAAAAATTGAAAGCTCTACGACCAATAGTCAATATTTGTGAATCCGTATGCAAAATGTACTGTTATAAAAATAATTTAATGAATCAAAAGCATCATGAAATCTTTAGAACGGATAAAAACTTCACGTTTTTTTCGACGAAACATAGAGGAAGCGATAGCATAATAATGTCCTTTGATCCCAGCCTCCGAGCGCTTGTGCCACGGCGATCGAAGTATATTTACGCTAGAAAACCCTCTCTGGCTGGGCTTAATAATTACGTTTCGCCTGATTGCAAGAGGCTCCCTTTTAACGCGTCGAGGTTCATCGTGCCCATCAAACTCTAAGCACCATCGTGTTTGCCCTGCCTAGCTTTTTTTTTTTTTTTTTTATTTTTTTTTTTTTTTTTTTTTTTTTTTTTTTGTTTTTTCATGAACGCACTATAAAAAATGTGAGGTATAATAATAATAATACTTGTATTGCTCCACTCATTCATGAGTGGACTCACGCAAATCATGAACCATTTAAAAATCTATTTGCGAATTTTCGAAAAAAAAATTTCAAAGCCACACATTTATGTATCGTAAAAT